ACATTAACTGTCCTGACTCGGAACAGGGAGCTTACACAAGCTATGTTCGATAAATTGTGAAGTAGACAATACACACAGGAAGGGTATACGAAACCCTTTATTTTTCTATCTTTACAGAGCTTTCCGGAACTTCGGAATACAGAGACCAACCACTTGTGGTCTAAACGTAAGAATATAAAAATACTAACTAAAACTCTAACTAAACTAACTTTGGATTAATATACAAGTGCCTACTTTAAGATTGGCCGTTAATTAACAAAAAGCCGTATGTAGTACAGAGAGCTGCTAAAACTACGATACGTTTAAAATTATCAAGAGGATTAAACCTCTGGCTTTGAAGGCAACCAGCAACCGAGTAAAACTACTATGGCAAGCAGCCTGCTTCTAATAACTCCTTCCTCTCTCTTGCTTGGCAAAAAGCCACAACTTAAGTCCATGGCGTTAGCAAGACAAATTTGCATAAATAAGTAAAGCTTTTAATTCTGGCCGGAAGTAGAAAATAAGAAGTGATAGTAAAGATTTAAAATAAAATAAACGTTAGTAAAACTTAGGATCCTTACAAACTCTCTGAGTAGTCCCTCATTATATTGGTGTAAACTTGAGTTGGTTAAAATTTGAAATAAAACTTTTCTTAAAATATAGTCTTATATTATGTTTGGAAATTTTTCTGTAAAAACATAAAAGTGTTCTCAGTCACAAAAATTTATTCCTTTTTTGCCACAGCATTCTGAAAAGACCTAGTTAACTTTATTTTTACAAGGTGGGCATTTATATCTTAGGATTATGATCTTATAACAGTTCGGCACCATAATATCCCTCTCATTCACGATTGCATGGCCCCACTTATATCTGGTATGTAAGCTTTGATAACGTAATGGCATCTGGCGCACTGTTACAAAGGGTCTGTCATCATTATATTGCTTGTAGCATGTTTCTTTTACCATCCTAGCTCAAGTATGCGAAGATATTTTTCTTCTTTTAAAGTGAGCTCTTAAAGCTATATTCTTTTATATGCGTAGCTTAATATTTAAGAAACATAATAAAATAATTTATCATCTACTCATTAAATTTTATATGAAAAGAAAGCTTGTCTGCTTAATTTTTTGTTAAAATACAGCAGCTAGATCAATTATTATTTTTCTTGCAGAACACCATCACGATAACAGGTTTACATTTCTCAAGCCGTTTCAAATGCATATTCTTTCTCTTTCTCTTAAAACACCCTCAACAATGCAAAATTATTTCATATGTGAAGGAAACTTATTCTCGAGTTAGTGTGATGTGTTAACTAAAAATCCACTCATAAAAGAATATCTCAGAGTATGAAATTCTGAGGAAGTCTATCCATATTTATTTTACATAAATCAAATGATAAAAAGTTTTGCTTAGATAATACTCCATGTCTTTTATTCCTTCAATATCTGGTGATACTCAGCTGCTGATGTCCAGCAGCTGAAGTAAAAAAAAAACTGAAGAAAATCATCCTAAAGTTAAAATTTTGGTTAAATTAAATTTAATAAAAATGCCACTCTTATATTAAAATTTGAAACATATCGTTAAGAGTGTACAGTTTACTCCATTACCCGGTATAATACCGTAGAAGACGTCCACATTTAATCCAAAATAACGATTAACTCGACAGTAATTAAAAATACACACACAGAGAGAAAAGTATAATTGTGTTATAATAAATAAAAAAACACTATTAAAAATTTACTTGTAATTTTAGGAGTTTAATTTGGAGAACAAATTCATTTGGTTAGGTCAGTTAAATCAGCACTGAAGGAAAGAATTACACAGCAAAAGAAACATCGTTTTTGTTTATGTTACTTTTGTATTTTGATAGGAGTCAATGGGAAACGGAAGTTTAATAGGTATACAGTACTTCATTTATTTTTGACATTTAGCAATTTATTTTTAAAGGATAATTTGACAACTTTTATAAATTCCAGATAATGTGCAGTTAAACTACACACAGATTTTCCTAAATATTCTGACATGATTTACTGTCACTACTGTTGTCTCACGCATTTATTTCCCCATTTTGCATTTCCCGTAGAGGTATATTGTTGGCACTGTTTCGCAGCAAACAAACTTAATATATTTCTAGACAAGGCTAACATCAATATATCTTCAGTTACTAGGGGGCTGAATGAACTTTTAAAGACATTTTTACGACTTTATATCCTTAAATATCACGCTTTAAGCTTTAATATTTTTTATAATTCCTGATTAATTTTGCTACCATTACAAGAATTTTTCATTGCTTCATTTCAGAAGCTTATGCAAGCCTCAATTACGAGAAAGGAAAATTAAATACTGTGTTTCTTAATTGTAACTCATAGCAAAACTGAACGAGATAATATTTATTATTACAGAAAATACACATTGGTGTCAGAAGGTTGATGATGCACAGTTAGTCGGCCGTGACTCTAACAATACTGTATTGAAGTCAAATGGAAGGTTTAAGAAATTCACAATTTTCATTTATCTAATGGGTGTTGTAAATGGCCTTTTTTTCTGTTCGCATTGTCAGTTTTATACTGCATGTTATAAGTTCTGTCGCAAATTATACTTCCAATAACTTCTTGTTGTTGTAGTTTAGTTGTTAATATGTTTTTTATTCTTTTGCAGATGCTTAACCGTTCAAATAACTAAGATAAACAAAGAAGGATTTAATTCTAGTGTACGGTACACACTGGAATTGGATTTGGAGACTTTTGGCGACATTATGCTGTGGAGTTAACGCGGTATTTATGACGAGCAGTAGACGAGTCATTTTGGTGTTGGCGACAATTTTCAAAATCACGTCAAGGACGTATCATATTTATAAGATTTTACAAGCGTTATGTTACAGACATCTGACAAACACATATATTAAATTAATAAAGACATTTAAATTTATTTGAGCATCGTGGCCAGAAAAAATTACTTCTGGATCCACTACTCTGATACCTCTGCCAGAGATGCTCCTAGGCCATTGGCTGCAGTGTACTTTCTTAAGAATTGCCACCCCTAGGATTGGCTGCCCAAGTACTTTCCTATGGTTACCTCTCCCAAAATTAAAAAAAAAATCTTCAGTGATGAATAACATTTTTACTTACAAGTACTTACATACGATAAATTGTATAAAACGTAGTTACATGTGACACAATTTAATGGATTTAAAATATTAAGTCGGGGTATCGCGAGAGTCCGGCCGCCTTGACTTTTCCCTCCCGCGTACTTTTACGCGCTGCACCCCCGCTAGGAAGAGCCCTGACCTTTGCTCTAGAACATATGCATTTATTTACAGTAATATGAAAACTTCACTAATGTATGTCCTACACAATAGTGCGACTTCTTAAATTTCAACTTTAAGAAGTCCATTTCAATCTGTAGCATTTCTTATTAAGTCTAAGATGAAGTATGACTGAAAATCAGCTTATTAAGGTTGAAGTTAAAGTTGAAGAAGTTGCACTATTGTGTAGGATCTAATATTAGTGAAGGTTTCATATTACTGTAATAAATGCTTATGTTCTAGAGCAGGGTTTTGCACTAGTGGCCCCGAAGTAATTTTTTGTGGCCACGCTGTTCAAATAAATTGAAAACAGAATAATATGATACCAAGAAAATATCACTTAGGGAAGATCAAAGTAGTATTTATCAGCTCTCGGTTCATCCGAAGAAAATCATAAAAATGATATATTAACATAACCTCCAATTCTATCCCATATAGAGATGTATATACAACCTCGAATGCTAAAAAGAACTCTTGTGATGGTCTCTTTACACACACACACACACAACAAAAAAAAACAAAAAAAAAAAAAATTCTCAGTTCGTACTGCGAAAATTCCAGCCGATATATAGATGGAATTAACAGAAATTTAGTGTGGCTCTATAGCAAAAATTCAGTTAAGTGGATTTCCCTGAATTTTATAAATACCTGCCTGTTGGTTCCCAAAAACTCGAAAATTGTTCTCCAAATTTGGTACGACGTCAGTGTGAACAAACTTTCTCCCAAAACTCACTAGTGTCAGTAACATGTCTCCACACATACCTGACAACTAATTTCAAGAAAAAAGTTCATTTATCTGAAAAGAAAGAAAAAATATCGATCTACTAGAAAAAATCCCTTTTGTTCCTTCTATTTTGTTTTTGAGGCCCGCATTATTGTAAAATCATGACTATATGGCTCTCTTAAGTTTGGCACACTTATTCTAGAATAATATCAATGCGTAACATGATATTCATTGCGTTGCAGTATATTAGCAAACTAAAACGAAATATCGTAAAAAACAATTTTGAATTTTGATCGTGGTATCTTTCAAGGAATGTGCCAAAGCATAATTTTAGGTTAGTCAGTATATACAACAATGAGATTATATTTTAGTAGTATTATATAGGAACACTTAGTTTTGTTTCCAGTACTTGCAAGAAGTGTTAGATAAATAAACCTTAAAATGAAGATTTTACAAAAATACAATGGTTCACTTTTCACATGCTTCCTAATACTGTTTGAGAGTGTTCGAAAATGTTAAATATGTGCACAACACTTTTCCTACAACAGTTTTTTCCTAACATTTTTTTCTGCATGATTTTCTTCGCCTTCGGATCGATAATTTAATGCTAAAAATAAAAAGGTATCAGTTTTATTTTAAATAGCTACAGCTCATAGGTACTGCGAAATATTTTTGCCGAAACGGTAAATTTGACAAAAATCGGAAGGATTTCTGACTTATGTGCTATCTTAAATATGACATAAAATGAATATTTGATTAATGAATGAATTAAAAATCTTAAAGCTTAGAGCAGCAAACTGAACTCGTAAAGGGATGCAAATGTTTTTCTCCCAGCTGAAATGTTTATCAGGATTGCTTGTTCACACGAATCGCAAGTAAAAAAGTCGAAATTGTTATAAGTAAATAAAAATAGGATTTCGGTGATATTTTTTTCATAAATATTATTCATTAGAAAGGCTTTGAAAAAACTGAATTATTCTGAAAATTTTTACTCACGTTTGTTTCATTGAGGTACACGTGGAAAGTCTGTTTCTCCAATCTCCACTCCAGCCTTGAACTGTTGGCACTCCTGACACATTCTGGCAAAGCCAACATGGCATTAGATGCACTTGACCAAATTCCGGTGACTGTCATTAAAATCCAAATGAAATGCATGTTCTCTAAATCCACTTTTACGTCACAAAAAATCTCAAACGAAAACCGGTTATCAAATTAACGTGAAGCAAAGATGTTTAAGATCAATCAGAAAGATGTTTACAGCTATCATACAGTTACGGAAACCTTTTTGTCTTCTATGCAATGAATTTTTAAACAGTTGCTTGCAAATGTTTAAAGAATTCTTTAAATCTCTTATTTCGAAACGAAAAGTATAAGTTAAATTAAATGCTAAATGCTTTCAGATTAGCAGGTTATAAAGTTGTCATAAAGTTCACCAATTCAACTTTATTTATTTATTTAGGTATATCCTAAATAAACGTGCAGCAACTTAAATTCGCAGTGGAATATTAAACACTTGTCAATAAATAGTCATCAAAAATGCGTTTTCAAATAACAGCTGCAAACGAGGGCAACGATTTCATCCACAGAAAAGTTCTAAAACATACAAAAATCCTGCAGAGAAATGCCTTTTAAAAGATACAAACGAAATGTTTCAAATGCATAAAACTAAAATCAGTTTACTATGTAAAAAAAAAAAAAACTAGTCACTTTATAATAAAACTTAGTATTCAGCAGTCTTTTGCGATTTCAAATGCATGGTATGTAGCACTGGAAGACGGAATAGTAACGTGCAGCAGAGGTACCTAAAATTTTCGCCAGCAGCCAAGTTAGTCGAGGGTCTTTCTCGCTCGAAATCCCGGCTCCAAATGATTCTCTGCTCCGATACCCTGCGATACGAAACTCCGGAATCACCAACCACCCCCCTCAGTCTCTCCAGTTTTGGTTTCCGGAGTAATAGGCAGTTCACGCGCAGACCGCTCTATCAGGAAAGATGGTGAGAGAATGGTTTTTTCCATTCTCCTTTCAACGAGCCATGTATATTTCAGAGCCGCGTTTATACTTGTTTTATTTTTTTCCGTATTATTTAACCTTTTCGAATTACTTGAGCACGGAATAACCATGGTTCGTTTAGCCTGGAAAATAAAAGTGGTAATATTTTCACTGATATTTGATAATCTGATGATCAGTGTTAGATATGCAAATATCTCAGAAGTGTGTGTATCTGAAATGTATACACGTATCATAAGCTTTTGCAGGAAATTATAGAGATAAATATATGCTTCATTTCTTTCAGAGCAAGAGAAAATATCGCATTCTAAACATCGCCCGGGGAAAAAGCAGTTAAAAAATATCACAGTTTTAAAACATCTAAGTGAAAATAATCGTGGTAAAAACTACAGCACATATAAAATTATGGCATGATGGTAAAACTGCAAACATGTGTTTTTCTGGCTTTAAAATTTGTAAATGTATATTTGCATGATGATTTGTAGCATAAGAAGGAATGAGAAATATTTTATATTTTTAATCGATTAATACATATTTTTTTTCAGAAAAACAAGGAAGGAACCTTAAGCATGAAATTTCTGTTCCTTTTCAGTTTAAATTTCTACTTATTTTCACTTTGTGGAAAACGTCCCCCCCCAAAAAAAAACATCACTTTCTATGGCAGATAGCCCTAAATACCGCGTAGTTCAGCCCTCATATATTTCATCATAATTAATGAATCAGCATCTAAATTATTAATTGCCTGCTGTGGATGAAAATGCTAAGAACACTTTAAGTAAACGAACAAACTGAAAAAAAAAAACAAGACTAATTTTTATTAAAAGCATATCACATTAAAAAATATGAAAGAAAATAATTTTAAGATTTGATATTTAACTAAACTATTTTAATATAGGTAACTTCATGCAATTACTCATCTTCCCTTCTCTAATCTTTTAAGCTACATTTTCTTATGAAAAACTGCCAATATAACTTTATAAAAGAGATTAATTGAATAATTACCATTAACAGTGAAGAACACAAATTACTTGTTTATGTCACGTTAATTTTCTAATTTAAGAGCTAATACACGAACCTGTTTATTATCCCTTCTAGGTTTTCACATCTCAGTCGTATAATAAGAAGAAATAAAAGTACAGCAAATTCTAAGATTTGAAAATATCATTATTTGGATTAAGTACATTTTAGAGCAAAGCAAAAATTATACATTAACAGGAAGGGTATACGAAACCATGAAACGTGGTGAAAAAGCGAAATATATTCTACAATGAAACAAATTATATATATATGTGATGTACCAGCTTTAGTCGTAGCTTAAATTGTCAGACGATAAGTTTAAAAAAAACAGGATCCATTTATTATTATTCAGGAGAAATAGAAGTTACAAAATCAGATATCCGGAGTAAATAAAAAGAATTACTAATAACTTTTTGTATGAAGTTTACTGCATCGTGACATTTAAGAAAAAGCCCCCGATATTCTTTTGCGAGTCCTTTTAATAGCCTCTGGAAAGGCGGAGCTTCCAAGAAATGACGTCAGCCTCGTTAGCCAATCCAGTTCGCTTTAAATATTTCCAGAACATTCTATAATAGTACGTGTAGAAAAGGCGGGAAAAACAACTTGACTACGGGGCTGTGGATTTAATTCCACGTACTTTCAATTAAGAGCACGTCGCCATTAAAAATGAAAAGAACATACAGTTAGAAATTTAAGTGTAATTTTGACTATGGACTTTTATTATTACAAATACATATATTTCTCAAATTTTTATTGCTTACCATTATTTTAAATTACATTTAATAATCCTATAAGCATCGAACTGAAGATAGCAATTTAACCGAGTTCGAGAATTTTGTCACTTTGTGGTTTTTCTTCGTTACAAACTGTCTTCATAAAGGCGCTTCATATCTCAACAGAATTTAAGTCATAACTTGAAAATAGGCATTGTAACAGAAACAGTTGCAACTCCTATCTTAAAACTATTGCTTTATAAAGATGACCACGTTCAGTTCTGCTATCTTCACAACGTTTAGGTTTCTGCTAGAAAACTGTTTCCTCCTTATTCACAGGGACAAAAATAATTAGTCTTCATATTCTTAGTATAAAACACGTACGTCCAACTATTAGTAATTGCCAGCTTAATTTTGTAACTCGAGTAGATTCAACTCAAACCATAACATATCCTCTATGAGTTTCCATTACTGGCTTAGGTGGTAACAGTAATTCTTAAGCCATTTTTGTCTCTTTGATTCTAATCTCTTTCCCCCCCTCCACATATCGCACATTTTGATATTTTACGATAATGAAACTTACATTTAGAAAAAAATTAGTGTATTCTGATGCTCGTTCATAACTATTTCCCAGTAATTTTAACATAAATATTAACAGATCCAGATTCTTTTGTCAGTTTCCTCATAAGATCCAAGGACACATTTCAAATGACTCATTATATACTCTGATATCCGGTGTTTCTGTCAAATTGCGACACTTATAACCGACAAAAATTTCTCCTTCTCCATTTTCTTGTTCTAGTTCCATTTTCTTTTAACTATAACTTTCTGTTTGAGGAAATAAAGGATTATTTCAGACATTTCGAGTTCTATTAATTGCATTCATCATGCAACTTTTGAGAACTTTCATAGCTCTAAAAGTACTGGGTTATCAAGAAAGTAATTGTAAATTTCATTTGTACAAATAGATAGCTAGCTATATGTTCACTATTATTATTCTGTCAATCTTATGTATATAGTATATCGTTTGGGATTAGGCACCTCGAAACAAAATCCGTATATTTTTTGCTTAAACTATTAGTTTACAACTGAAGTATCAGTATGCGTTCTTTTTTTATTATTATTATCATTAGTAAAAAGGGACTTTGTCCCTGAAGGACTATTGTTTTCGTTTTGCGATTTTGCGTTGAATCACTATAAATGTACGTTTCACTTTTCAAACTGTTGCCACCAAATGCTAGAGTCCTGCATTATATTTGAAGAAATCAAATCATGAAAAATCTGTACAAATGTATGTCTATTTCTCGCATTGTGATAAAACAACGGTACATAGAAAAGTCGAATTTTGAATTACGTAATCCTCCTACGAATATGGGCATGTGGAAGACCAAATTTGAAATTTGGAATTTGTTTTATTATCGATTTAATATTTTGTAAAACTTTAACGAATTTTTGATTAACAACAAACACAAGGATTTCAAAGCGAGCAATGGCAACACTCTACGGGAAAAAAAAAATTTTTAATCTCCAGTGTGCGGAACTATGTATCGGAAATTCTAAAGATAGGCTCGTTTTAAAATATTTTTGCGACATTGCTATTGAACTGAATTTTATGTTTTAAAGTGCAAAGAACATCATATTTACTAAATAATGGTAACACACAAAACGCTAAGAAAACGCCCTTTTGGACGTAGTTTTAAATCTGAAGCATTATATGTAAAGTTTAAATTGATGAATGTTTAAAAGAACGCATGTGTCATAATTAGTTTAAAAAATTTCTTTCTGGAATTTTTCTACCTGAAGTTGACTAACGTTCTAGACGACCTTCTGAAATTGATGATGGCAAAATTAAAGCTTGGATCAGACTGTCATGTAACTATGAGAGAGATTGCAAAGACATTAAATGTATCACAAACAACAAATATAATTCATGTAAGATGTATTGGACTCGGCAAGAAGATCAATATTTCGGTTCCTCATGATTTGAAAGGAATTCACCACTTTATACAACTTTCATTCATTATTTGTGATATACTTTTCAAACGTATTGTGGCCAACTCTTTTTTTTAAATGAATTATCGTGAAATATGGATCGACTACAATAATATTAATGGAAAAAGATCATGGTGCAAGCTTAATGAATCAGCACAAAACATAACGAAAGCTGAGTTTCATCAGAAAAAGACCATGCTGTCAATTTGGTGGAATTACAAGGGCGTTGTGTATTTTGAGCTGCTTCCAATCGACCAAATGATCAACTCAGATGTTTCCTGCTAAAACCTTATGCTAAAACCTGCTATGAAACTGGAGGAAGCAATCAAAGAAAAAAGACCAGAATTGGCCTATCGCAAAGGAATTGTATTCTAAACCACGACAATGCGAGGGCTCACACAACTTTAGCAACATGTACGAAATTATTGCTTGGTTAAGAAGTAATAGCGCATCCTCCATATATCGCCGACATTGTACCAGTTGATTATCATTTACTTCGAAGTTTACAATACTTCCTAAATGGTAAAAACTTCAGTGATAACGATGACCTCAAATCACAATGTGTTGCGTTTTTTGCTGATAAAGACCAGAAGTTCTATGACCGCAGAATCATAAAGTTAGTCAAAAGATAGGAAAATGTCATCGAGCAGAATGGAAGATACTTTAATCTGTAAAGTGTCTTCCATTGTGCCGTTAATATCTCTGATTTTAGCTATTTTGTTTGGAAAAAGTGGACGACTACCTTTTCAGCACCCAGAAAAGAATTGTAGAAAGATTGGTGACGATAGCCATAGTTAGACTGAGTTAATCGCAAACAAAACACACATACATTCTTCTTCATATATACAGATTATTAAATTTATTTATTTATTTAAATATTTTTAAATTTTATTTACAAAAACGCTTTTCCCCATCAGCCATTTTCCGATAGAGCATTCGTCTCGCATGCAGTTTGATTTTGAAGCCCCTGCGTTAAGGAATTGGATATAAATTATTATATAATAAAGATTTTCAGTTTTTGTTATAAGTTTAATGCTACAAGTTATAAAACTTTCACATTACCAGAAAACGTATTTGAGTTTATAGTTTCTTACTGCATGGATATGTTCTTCAACAAG